GTATTATGAACTAGTTTATCTTGTGTGTGTGTGTGTGCTCTAGTAGTCTTTTCAGTCCGGGGACTCAATGTTGTCCCGCAGAAAATCATCACAACAAGCACATTCTATGATTTAATTTTACAGGGGAATCTTTGTGGGGATTTAAAGCGAAATTTCTCCATACTTAGGATTCATTCTGTTTCTATGCAATACAGCCTTTAGATTTGTACCGCAGTGAAGCAGAATTTGTTGTTTTTTCTTTTAAGACTGTCACACGATATCATTCAAATGCAATTTTCTAGTAGAACTTTAAAAATAATCAGAACCTTCTTGAGTCGATTTTCGAAAATCCTAGGAGAGGTAGGAAAGCAAGAAATTTTACAACAAATGTTCCGAAAATTCTAGTCTCAAATCGTCTTCCGAACAGATATTTTTCCGAAAATTGTCGTTGGGTGCCCCTGTAAAATGTGACCTTCAACCTGTAACACTCGATTGGCCATGTTGACACTACATAAAGATAAAAGACGAAAAAACACCTTAACTTATAAGACTAACTATAAAATATCACCTAAGTATTGTCTGTATGTCGCATAGAAATATGCCAAATATCAAATCTGATTATAGATTGCAGCGATCTAAAGATATAAAGCAATAAATCCGAACCTACCTCCAGCTAGACGGCGCCATTTTTCTTGCCCCGACAGCAAATCGAAATGCGAACTAGTTCCAGTCCTACTCCGCACCACAGCTGAACTAGAGAGCGCGCGCGCGCGCGTATGAGCGCTGCGCCCTGACATTCAACTCCAAAACAATTTGTCAACGTTTGACGAATTAAAAGAGATGGAACAAGCGCGATAAAGTTTGAGGCAGCGCGAATTCACTTTTGTAGTGACGCTTTCTTAGCCGTCGCCGTCGTTGTTGCTTGAGCTCCCTCTGGATGAGCTATTTTGAAAAAATAGCCTGCATAGCATGGCGGTTTTGGTTGGGCGCGCTAAGTAATGAAGGCGGGCGAGGGCAGAGAAACCGCGAGGAGATTGCGGCGGGTTCTCCGCTCGTGCGCCCAGCTCGACAAAACCGCCATGCTACACAGGCTATTGAAAAAATAGCTCATATGTCAGTGGTTTGGGTGTACGTATCTTTGTGGCTTTGTGGCTTTGTATGTTCGGATGTTTGTTGCAGGGGCCAATAAGGTTGAAGGTACTACGAGTTGACGCGTACAGTAAGAACCAATGAGATTTTGGCATCTAACCGTCAATGATATTGCTTAAGGTCAAACAAGGGCACTTAGAGACCGCCATATTGATTCTTCACAATTTTTACGTCTTTTATTACACTAAAGGTTTTTAGAAGCATAACATTGAAATATCTTCATGATTCAAACGCTGAGTACAGTGATGCAGCTGTTTGAGGGGTGCATATTTTAGTTTGGATGCTGCTTCAATACATTTGACCTAATTCGGCTATCGCGAACGGTACAACGCACGTATTTCATAATTTATGAGTTCTGTTTCACCTGCTTCAAGGTAGAGTATAAAAGATCATATATTTTTCAAAGTTCCTCCAATGAAACAATAATTGAACTTTAGATATGGAGTTTAATCCTGGAGTATGCGGCCTATAAATTGTGGTTTTAAAAGTTTGAAAGTCAAGGCGAGTATTGTCTATCCTGTAAACAAGCTTTTTCTCTCGGTTACAAAGTTCAACAGACCTTTTTCGTACCAGAAAAAAAAAATTAGGTGAACAACATGAAACAAGCTTGCTGCTTAAGAGTCATTACAGTTATTGAAGTGTATTTTATTCAGTAAAGATGCGTAATTTAAGTAGAAACAGTAACGTCAGGGAATTAAATTTGCCTGCGTCTCAGGCGCTCTAAACCTTCTGTATAGAGCGTCTGCGAAGTAGTGAACAATATCGGGTTCGAATCCCGCAGAGTCGCAAGAGCATATGTCGGCGTTTTTGATTGGCTAGTTTCTTAAGCAGTTTGTGATTAGTCCGATTTTAATTAAGCGTTGACAGGCCAAACATGACTAATAGCTCGTGACAAGAGAGATTGAGCTCGTGATAGTGTGAAAGGTGACCTAACAGTCAGCTTGAACAACAGAGGTTTTTCTTGCTATCTTTTCAAATTGTGAAAGCACGTTTAAACTCAAATCCATGGTAGGTATGGGACATTTCTCTGTTCAACTACTCCCCTACAGGTGATGAGGTCGAATGGTTATAAATGGGTACACTTCGGGGCGAGTCCCCTTCGAGCCTCCCGGATAAGTGGAGACTCCGCCGGCATAAAACAGGTTACATCGCTTGAAGAACACAAAAGAAGTCCGGTCGGAATGGGTACTCTCAGAGCTTTAAGAACCCAGGGAAAGCGGTTGGAAAGAAATATAATCCCGTTCACATTGCCTTTTTCACGTTTGGACCGAGAACGGTTAGCTTGCGAGCCAGCTCTACGGGCGCTCTGGCGGACGGGCGGGAAAAGGAGGGAGAGGTTTTGGGTAAGGGTTAGAGTTTCCTTTTCCCCCTCCGTCGCCAGAGCGCTCCGGAGAGCTTGCTCGCAGGCTATAGAATGGTGAATTAGAAAGCCTTCTTCGTCCTTCTGCACTCCTCACCCTTTCTTTCTTTCTCCTTTTCCAGAAACACACGCAGAAAAAGAATTAAAAAATAACATGACCAACGCATCATATGAATTCCACATTTATATTTGCTATCACACAAGTGAATGATTATCATTAAGTGGTATATCGCACTAATTACAAATAAAACCATCATCGGCCTGGGTCACCCTTGATGAACGATGTTAACGACGAAAAAATTCCAAACTCACTATTATTTAACACCTTCTATTCTTTGTAATGCACCTGTGGAGTGGCCAGTTCCACGGGTAACCGTTGAGTGATATAATCCCCCCCCCCGGGAGCACTCCTTATAACGGCCTACACGGAGAGGCTCCGACCGAAAGGCGTCCCTTTTTCGGCTACAGGTAATAATACGTATATTTAAAGGGTAACATTTTTTTTAACGGAAGGTTTACGAAAGGGGTACCTTTTCTGTCAAAAATGGTATATAAAAGCCGTAAGGGGTTGGACCTTAAGGCGGAGCCTCAAGGTATAACACTTTGCTTATTCCCCCCCATCCCCCCGGGAATTTCTGTTGCAATTTAAAAACATAAAGACTTACACTGTATTCCCCTTTAAATGACAACAATGTCTTATCTGTTATACTTTAAATAGGAAAGAAATGACGCGGAAAAGGTAACTGCCTCTTCATTACCAAATGGGGAGCTGTTTACATAAAGGAAGGAAGATCCTAGCACCAAGAAGATCCAAGAAGGCGGAACAACTTTTCGTTGGGTTTACATAAAAAAAATTCGGTTCGTATGGAGAAGGAATTGAAGATTAAAGATCACCCACCGAACTACTCGCCGCCAGTTTTGTTCTGTTTGTCCTTAGTACTAGGATCTTCCTAGCGAAAGCAGTTTCCATGGTGCTAGGATTTTCCTAGTACTGGGATCTTCCTACCCCTCAGCTAGGAAGATCCTTGCGCTAGGGACAAGCACAACTTTTTGCGTGTAAAGTGTGTACAGAAAACATGTGGCGCTCGGATGGTCCATCTTCTAGGAACTTCCTGGTGCTAGGATCTTGCTCCCTTCACGTACATTGTAAACAGCCCATAAAAATGTTCTATTCCCATTATTTGTACCTTACTTCCTGTCTATTCCTATATAAAACTAACTTGTAAATATACAGTCTTGCTGTTTAAATAAGTAATCCTACAATCAACGTTGTGAAAACGTTATCAAAAGAAATGAAGAGCATTCGCAAAAATTGATTTGGTTTATAAAAATGAAAAACAAGTTAACAAATTTTTTTATCTGAGAAGTGTACCTTTTTACAACAATTAAATCCACGACATTTGCCCACATAATTATTTTTATCCTAATGTAATACATTTTTAATTTTAAAACTAGGTTCTGAAGCAAGGTCATTTCATAAAATAATATTTGACTTTCAACTCTGACAAATTGTAATGTTCGTTTTTGAAACTATAATTATTGCTTGCAGATTTTATTTGGAAAAAAAGAGAGTCATTCAAATAAGCAAGAGAGGGTATCAATTTCACAATGAAAATAATAACACAAAATTAAAGGATGTTAAAAATCTTTCAAGATTGTGCTTCATCAAAGAAAGTGTTATTATTAATAATTAATAAATAGTTATTATTACTGATCAGACCGGTTTGAGATCCTGTTTATAACCAGGTGAATGGTGGCAGTTGCTATGTGTTTTAAGCTTGGTGCAATCACCAAATGACGTGACACAAAAGATTGAAAAAACACTGACCAATCATCTATGACACAACATACTGACTAACCAACAGTGGTTTCTGCGACAACAAGAAACAACCAGTGGTGTAGCTTGCCTGGCTGCTGATTTTGTTGGGAAAGGAGGTTGCGAGAAAGCAGTATGTTTCCACCCCATTCTCCTTGTGGCTTTCCCACTTGCTCGTACTCCCCAGTTGCCTTTCACCATCAAACCCAGTGGCTACACATGCTATAAGACTACTGGTGTTTCTTGTTTACAGTGTGGGCATGCCTCGATGAAGTTCCTTGCTCATAACAAAAAAGCAACTGACACCTAGTTCAGACAAACTATGCATAGATAGAGTATTTTCATCATTTTTAAAAATAAAAAAAAAGTTACTAAGACTTCAGGCGTTTGCCAAAAGCCAGAACTGGCCTGCCTGTTGGACCAGCTTTTTTGAAAATAAAATTGGTTATTTTTTAAAGTTTTTGCTTGATACATTTCTACCTTTCATACAATTTAAGGAATGGGGATTCCTTTTAATTGTATGCAAGGTAGAAATAGTATGGTAAATTCTTCCTAACAGTGGAATAATTATCTTTATGACAGGATTGGTCTAGCCATCCATTTCTGACTAATGGTAAGAACCCTTACATTCACATCATCTGTGTAACTGTTGCTGCTCACTGCACACTAGCTTTTGACTGTGAGTACAGCTGGAAGTCACGCTTTCAGGTTTTTAGTTTGCTTTGAATACTTTAGCTGAAGAATATCTCCAACTTCATCAATGGCTTCAAGGGCCTAAAATGTAAGAGGAAAATATGTTAAATCTAAACGAGGATATAACCACCACAGTTTTAATAAACAGGAATTTGAGCAATATTGCAAATTTAGGCCGAAAAAGAATTAATTTCAGGTTTCAAAGGGAATCGAATCCATGGCCTCTGCATAAGTGTTTCAGCGCTCTGCCACCTGAGCTATGAAGACCCATAAATGTACACGTACGTACATTGGGAGAGAGGTAATTATGTTGTTTATGTCATTTAAATACACAAAAGTATGGTCCATGTAATTGACCATAGAATGAAGATGATGTGAACTGCCGCAATGTATATTAAGCAAACGTTTTAGCTTCACCCCACCAGGGTTCATACAAAAAATTGCAACCCTTTTTTGAGGATTTTCCAAGGACCACATTCAATTTTCAAGGACCACCTACTAGGAAATTAATGTCACAGATTGTACAAAAATGCATATTCCCAGTCCATTCTAACAGGACTTTAAAGGCTTGAGCTGTTTGCTCCACCAACTTCTCTACATTTTTTAGTTCACTTGTCTTAAATTGATAGGTAATTTTAGCAAAAAACAAAAAAGGCTTTATGAAAGTCACCTTTAACTTCTCTGAGCTATGATCTATATTATGTAAGTGCACAATTTACAAGAAGCATTAAAAACACTTTTCAGGCAACCACATTCAGGGTAAAAGAAAATTTAAGGACTTCTCAAGGACTTGCACAGAAATGTAAGGACTTTTCAGGGAGTCCCCCTAAAATGCAAGGAATTTTTAAGACTGCAGGAACCCTCTATCACTGCTGTCACCAAGATTTCAAGTTGTCAGGTACAGCAGTTAGTAGGTGGGAAACTGCTGAGCTACAAAGATTTAAGTTCTTTATGTTTTACAGTATTTTCCTTTTGTTTTCTCTCATAGTAGCCAGGGGAAATCCCAGGCACCTGACCCTTTGTGACAGCCTTGTCACTATGGTGTACCCATTCAGAAAATAAACGCTCTCTGTTAATACATTTGTATAATAAAGTTTGAAATCTGACATTCACTTTGACAAAATAAATTCAAAACTTTTCTTGCTTTTGATTTTGGTCATTCAAGGGAGTAAAACAAGTCAACTGATGAGAGTAAATGTATAAATTAAAAGAGTTACAGTCAATTTTGTTTTTGCTATAAGCTATTGTTGTTTTCACTTGCCTTATCCAGCTGTTCACGGGTGTGCGATGCTGACATGCAGAACCGGGTACGAGACTCAATCAAAGGAGTGGCAGGAAAGCCAACAACAACAACAGCGACATTCCTCTTTAACATTTCACGGCCAAAGGCACTAAAAAACAAATTATAGAAAAGGGATATACCCTTGTGACAACAATCACAAAATTGAGCTCAGTGGGCTCAAATAGTTAACAATGTTAACAACTTCAGCAAAGCATGTTACACTCCAATCAATACCGTAAATGCTCAAATTAGCGCCCAGCTTCAAAGAAGTGCCCCCCTTTGAATCAGCGCCCCCCTCCTGCCTTAGAAAATGAAATAAGTGCCCCGGGCGCTAATTCAAGTATTTACGGTATTCATGACATGAATCATGAATGATGTTTGATTGTACATCAGACGATAATCCTTGTTAACAAGAACATCTTGACTAATTCACTAGCTGTTGACTTTTTCAAGCAATATGCTAGATACAACTTATAAGAAGACATTTGCTTAAGAAACATCACTCACATCACACTATTTCAAATCCAATATTCAGAAAATTAATATTAATGTTAAAAAATTTAATATGCTACCTTTGTAGGTAATACAGACACAGCACTACTGCAGGCAACTGTCTTAAAGTCACTTTAATGCTAAAAAGACTAAATATAATTCTCGCTGACTTATTTTTGCACACTTGGCTCAAATCACATCTGAAAAATTCTACATATTTTTGGCACTGTAGCATAATGCCTTATATTATTTTGACCAATTCAACAAGCACTCTAGCAGAAGGCTTGCCTATAATAACAAACTACTGTCAAAATCTTGAACTACATGTTAACACTTACGCAATTTTGGCAGGCATATAAAGAAGAAGAGGGATGACTGGTGAGGCATCATGACCATAAACAATAAATCCCATTTTCTTGAGTCTTTGTCTGAAGTATCTACAAAGTAACAACATGATGTGTTGTGAAATCCCATCCCAATAATCTACATGTAAACAAAGAATTAATAGACTCCTTCTTACTGATACCAGGGCCGACCCATGAATAAACTAATCTCAGGGTGCAAAGAAAGTCAGTTTTACAGCCTGCCATTCGGGCAAGCTGTAGCTAGCATGTACCAGCCCACAAGTCATTTCAACTAGCCCCAAAACCCTTTTTGATTAGCAGGATTGATTACAATCCTTCTGTGATTTGAATTTTCCCAAAAAACAGCACTTGCCCGTTGGGCAAGTTATTAAAGAACAAAACTCACTAGCCCCAGGCTACCGGACATGACTTTCTACACAGGCTGTAATCTTAACAGACCACATTGTATTATGGGATGCCAACTGGGTAAACCAGTATGTACATTGTACCAGTATGTAGTTCCCAGCTTGTGTAACCACTTGTGTTGTTCTCAAAAAGTTAAGATGCAGAGGAAAGGCATTCTTTTTTGTCACATTTTATGTCAAGTTTTGTTTGAAGAACATTTGAACGCAGCAATAACTGTTGGTCTCCTCAAAAACAGGGCATATATGTAAATTTAGACTTATTTTTATCTTTACTTCCCATGACTAGGGAGCCTAGACTTTGAAGCCTCTTAATTATTAATTTGCACTCCCTCGCCAGTTAATCATTTTTGAATTACTGACAAATGCCCATTTTTAAAACCCAACATGGTTAAAAAATCGCCACTATCTCACTGGAGTGGAATCGTACATTGAACAAACTTTGTGTGAATTGTCCAAAATGAAGGTGTTTGTGGAAATACATATACCCGTGTCCCTTGTACATCCCATGATAGTCTTTTGTTAATTATGGCTGTCAAATTGGCAAAAAGGTCTACATGTATTTTCTCTTTCTTACTTGCTGTTTTCAGCCAAAGCAGTCAGTCTCTTCTTTCCTGTGAGAGAAGGAATAAAAGGGTTGTGTTACCAGGCTTCTAATTTCTCCTCATAACATCACTGCTTAGTCAGACATAAAAAGTCACGAGAGAAAAGGAAATGTTCAGCAAGGGGATGAAAAGGTCTGTAATGTTAAACAAGTTTTGCTCATCAGCATTACAGGTTTTTTTGTTTGGGTGTGTGAATTTGTCTTCTCATGTAACCATGAAGGAGTCTGGGCAAATCAAAGGGGGCTACTTCTACACCTCCCAATTTTCGTCAGGGGATAAAATAAAAAAAGACACGAGCATGGCAGTACAAAAGTGAAGCATATTTTGCCTTCCTAAAAATTGCACCACTATATGCTGGCTGCATTGTACATCATCACAGGGAAAAGAGAAGAGAATTTACTGCTTGCTGACATTGGCTGGGATCTAGCTCATCATGGGCACTTTCCATTCAACCCAAAACTCCAGAAATTTCAGTTGTTACATCAAATGGAACGGACCATTTCGGTTTGGTCCAACCGGAACATTTGGGACCAGCTTTGAAGGTGGTCCACTTTGACCGTTCCATTATCTTGGTCGGTCGGACCGAAATGACCCGTTCCATTTGACAAAATTGTTGTCCCCAGTACCGCTCTTTTGTATCTTACTTACAAGAACAATAACCAAACCCGTGGTGACTTGGGTCGGGTCTGTGCAACTGGAATGTACTGTTCCACTGGGCACGTGGAATTTCCCAAATTTCAAACCAGAATTTTTGTTGGATTGACAGCGCGCTACCCTTGCGAAATGAATTCCCAGAGTTCTGGGAATTCCTAGGATTTCCTAGGAATTCCTAGGAATTCCAATTTATTCCAAGACATGCAAATGAGCAAAGATGAAAAACCTTGGAATATTTGGGAATACTTGGGAATGGGTTAAAACACCAGTGGGAATTTTTGGGAATTCCTAGGAATTCATTTCTTTAATTGCCTATAACAACAAGGATTTCTTGACATTAACCAGCATCTATATACAACATTTATTGCAACTTAAATCTTTAAAAAAAAATTATCAACAATAAGCACGATACTGAAAGCTTATTCAAAGTGCACTTCTCGTACCTGAGCTTTCCAAACATGTCCACAACTCGTTTTTCATCGCGGCTTTGCCTAATAAAAGGTCATCGCTTCTTAAAAAAAACAATACAAAATTTTCCTCTCGCTGCTTATACCTCAAAAGCGTTGGAATATTTTATTTAGCTCTGAAAACGACCGCTTTTTTCAACTTGCTCATCATGGAGCAAAATCATCCACCATGTTTGAGCTATACTGGTTACCAGTTTCCCCACTAAGTGAATTGCGTCATCACGAGCGCCTTTTGAACCAATGGAAAAGTGTGAAATGAAGTTCCGTTTGGTGAATTCAAATTCACGCGGACTTTCATTAGCAAGAGCACAAGTATCTTGCATCAGAAATTGACGTTATTTTAAACGCGGATTGTTCATTTATTTTGTTGTTGACACATGAAACGTGCTTCCAGTCATGTCCGAGAACAATAAGTCAGCTGGATTGTGAAAGGTAAAGGTACGTTCCTGCTTTGTAATGTGTCTTCTGATGGTAACCACGTACTCAAATAATGAAGCTGGAGATCAAAGTGAAATTATAGNAAACAGGGCATAGATGTAAATTTAGACTTATTTTTATCTTTACTTTCCATGACTAGGAAGCCTGGACTTTGAATCCTCTTAATTATTAATTTGCACTCCCTTGCAAGCTAATCATTTTTGAATTTTACTTTGTCCAAATAAATCAACTGAACTGAACTGGCAAATGCCCATTTTTAAAACCCAACACAATGGTTAAAAAATCGCCATTATCTCACTCAAATCGTACATTAAACAAACTTTGTGTGAATTGTCCAAAAATGAAGGGGTTTGTGGAAATACATATACCCATGTCCCTTGGGCATCCCATGATAGTCTTTTGTTAATTATTATGCCTGTCAAATATTTGGCAAAAAGGTCTATATGTATTTTTCTCTTTCTTACTTGCTGTTTTCGGCCAAAGCAGTCAGTCTCTTCTTTCCTGTGAGAGAAGAAATAAAAATGTTGAGTTACCAAGCTTCTAATTTCTTTTCACAACATCACTAATTAATCAAACATAAAAAGTCATAAGAGAAACAGAAATGATCAGCAAGGGGTGAAAAGGTCTGTAATGTTAAACAAGTTTTCCTCATCAGCATTGCAGGCCTTTTTGTTTGGGTGTGTGAATTTGTCTTCTCATGTAACCATCAAGGAGTCTGGGCAAATCAAAGGGTGCTTCTTCTACACCTCCCAATTTTGGTCAGGGGATAAAATAAAAAAAGACATGAGCATGGCAGTACAAAGGTGAAGCAGATTTTGCCTTCCTAAAAATTGCACCACTATTGCTGGCTGCATTACACATCATCACGGGGAAAAGAGAAGAGAATTTACTGCTTGCTGACATTGGCTGAGATGTAGCTCATCATGGACCCTTTCCATTCAACCCAAAACTCTGGAAATTTCAGTTGTTACATCAAATGGAACGGACCATTTCGGTTTGGTCTAACCAGAATATTTGGGACCAGCTTTGAAGGTGGTCCACTTTGACTAGTCTGGTTATCTTGGTCGGTTGGACCGAAATGACCCGTTCCATTTGACAAAATTGTTGTCCCCAATACCACTCTTTTGTATCTTACTTACAAGAACAATAACCAAACACGTGGTGGCTTGGGTCGGGTCTGTGCAACTGGAATGTACTGTTCCACTGGGCACATGGAATTTCCCAAATTTCAAACCAGAATTTTTGTTGAATTGCCAACGCACTAAAACTAACCTTTATCAGTGCCATCTTCACCCATAATCATCTTCATAGATGAAATAATTTGCATGGCAACAGGTGGTGACATGGACGAAGCATATGCAGCACTGTGGGAACAACCTCTGATATGGTCAATTATCTCCTGTAAAATGAAACCAGTGTTAACCTATTGTTAGTTAAACAGTGCAAATATAATTAATCATATAACAATATGGGAAATGCAACTTGGCAGCCTTGGGAAACATCTAAGCTCTCCATACATGTACCTCTCTCATCAAGGACAGGAACTTTGAAAGTGTACTCCTAATAAAAATATATACATATACCTTGAATTTCATGTGGTAGAATATATACAAAAAGGTACTCATAGAATGTCAAGACCATCTAGAAGTGTTTTATGCCAAGGATGTTAAATTTGAAGAGTGACAGTACACATTCAAGCACTTTGTGGACTTCTATTCCTGATGCTAAAACATTTGGCTAAACATCAAGTTTGAGCATATGGTTTAGTTACATGTAGGTGTCAAAGTTGTCAAGGACTGTTAAAACTGCTGATGACAAACCAGTACAATGGAGGTGGATCCACATGAGCTGAAACGCATGGCTCAGGGGTGAATGGGTTAATAACTAATGCATTCACCCCTGACGAGGTGGCCTTTGGTAGAATAATTCTACCTCTCTCTGACCTCTCGCTAACAAACACCACTGCACAGTAGCAACAGCCACTTCAGTCTGTCCCAACTCCCAAAATAACTTCTCCACAATGGCCATTACAAGATCCACAATGCAAAAGCGAATGTGCCAATATTATTCTATCCTACTTTGCATGTTTTGTTTTGTTGACAATTTTTTTTTCATGAGCTGAAGATTTGGTTTATGTTTCATTGACATTCTTTGATTGTGATACATGTTTTGAAAATAAAAATGTCCTACCCTTTCTCTCAAAAATGGTCTACCTCTCCATAAAGGTCACCGCTTTACAACAGCCAATTACCTCTGTCCCCCAAGTGGCCACTGTAGAGAGAGTTAAACTGCACTCTTACATGTAAACTCACCTTAGTTGCTGCAATGTACCCTCCTGCTGCACCAAAACTCTTGGTAAATGTACCCATCATGATGTCAACGTCATTAGGATCCACTCCAAAGTAATCAGTCACACCTCTTCCACGAGGACCCATGGCACCAATGCTGTGGGCCTCATCCAGGAAAAGGTATGCTTTGTATTTCTTTTTAAGGGCAATGACTTCTGGGAGTCTTACAATAGAGCCCTCCATACTAGAAAAAAATAAAAGAATACAAGATTATAGCTTAGTTCAAGGAGGTTAACCCTTACAAATTCTCCAGACTGGCACTGAAATAATTTGAATGAATAATAAAATATAATTATCATTCCCTTACAAAAATAACCCTATTTTATTTATATTTTATGGCTATTTTTATGCTATCACGTCTATTTTCATCCAATTTTATTCTCACTGAGTTATATTTTAATCCTATTTTACCTGAAAAGGAAAATAGCCCATCTATTTTATTTGTGTTTTACTTTTATTTTAAACCGATTTTTAAGCAAGTTAGAAAAGAGTGGTATATTTTATTTCTGTTTTCACAGAACATACTGAAAAAAGCATGTTAAGCAGGCTATTTTAATCCTATTTTAATATCTAAAACTTAAATTGTTCTATAAAATAGTGACAAAATAGGCTGTTTTATTTGTATTTTTCTGCACATAGGAAAGACTACAGCCATTTGCTGTGAAAAATATACATAAAATAGGCTATCACAATTCTATTTTATCTAAGAAACCCTTGAGAAAATGGTAAATAGATTACAAATAGACTGTTTTTTCTTATTTTTGGAGAAAAATTCCATTCCATTGCAAAATATGTATAAATTCACTACCAGCATGAGTTCAATGAAAATCCTATGAATCTTTTTTCATCATCTGGTCTGCATGAATTTTGCAACTGTCGATTTCATGGCCTGAATGGTTCAGGGTCATCAATAATTTGCCATGGACCATAGAACTGTCTGTGTGATTTATTTACCGGAAGAAGTGTAGTAAGTAAGCGCTGGTCCTCATATTCTCAAGACAAAGTGTGTTCTCTTGTTCCTGAGCAAGTCCAACTGAGTCCAAACGATGACGGATGTCCACAACACGTTTTTCGTCGGAGCTTTGTAGGTAATGCCCATCGTTTCAGTGCGAAATTTTCCTCTTGTAGCTAACGCTAACACCTCAAAAGCATTGGAATATTTCATTCGGCTCTGAAAACGACCGCTTTGTCCACTCACTAAACTCAATCAAAAAGTAGATTACCTGACTTGCCATTCCGCCATGTTGTTTGAATGTTTGTTGTTTGAGTTAAATGGTTACCAGTCTCCCACCTTCCATCGTCACGTGTGCTTTCTGAACCAATAGAAAAGTATGAATTGAAGTTCCGTTTATCGGTTCAAATTCACGCGGCCTTTCTATTAACAAGAAGCTACAAGAGCACGAGGCTATTTTGCTTCCAAAATGGACGTTTTTTAAAGGCAGATTGTTCATTTATTTTGTTGTTGACACATGAAACGTGCTTCCAGTCATGTCCAAGAAAGATAAGTCAGCTGGATTGTGGAAGGTGAAGGTATGTTCTCAAACAATTGACGCTGGACATAATATTAACATTCTAATATGATCGGGAAACGTCAAGATGCAAGAAATACCAGTTATTGGTTCCTTTTTGTTTACTGGAGACGTGACTGTAGTCATTGTTGCAAATAGTTGATGGAATCCTACTTGAATAAGCTTACTGATTCTGGCAGATATGTACATGTATACAGAAGAACCTCGATAACTCTAACTCGGATTACGCTAATTCCCCGCTAATTCGAACTAAATTTGCTTTCCACTGATCAAAATTTCGCTGAAATTTACCCGATAACTCGAATTCCCCCCTTAAACTCGAACTGTTTTTCGCTTTTTCAGAGCTAGAGTTACCTGGGGTTCTACTGTAGTTATGAAAATGTAAGCTTAACCGGCTTATTTTTATCGCCATGTCTACCACCATTTTAGTTTCCAGTTCATTATTTTGTTCTCAGTTTGAGACCAGCTCAGTAAGGGCTTAGCAGATAAGCTTGCTGGAAGAAAGTTGGCCTGACTTTTCCTTTTTTTTAAACATATATGGTATGTTCCCGTTTCAAAATTAATATAATCAAGTCTGTTTTTCTGTCTGTTCAATTTATACATAAACTTGTTTAAACTGTAACTTTCATGCTTTCTCCAGTTGATGACTATAAATCATTAAATTTGAATATACTTTACTATCCTGGCATAATGGATGTTGATTGATTACATGACGTTAAACCAGTGTAAACTCCTAGAATTCCTAAGAATTTCTGAGAATTTCTAAGAATTTTTGAACTTGTAAGTTGGAATTCCTGGGAATTCCAAGTCTAGTTTCATTTGCATTTGGAATATGTGGGAATTTCTAGGAATTTAGAACCAGAACTTTTCAAACTGGGAATTCCTAAGAATTCCTAGGAATTCCAAGTCCAAAATTACTGTGAAAATTCACACTTTCCTAGGAATTTCTAACAATTTTTCCCTAGGAATTCCTGGGAATTCTCAGACTTATTTTGAGAGGGTATGATGATTACACCTAGCTTATAATCAAGTTTTTTGTAAGTAACCAAAAGGTCTAGAGGTGATAAAAAGATTTAATATATGGGATCAAAGATGTGTGTCACTGAGTCAAGAGGAATTGACTAGCTGAGCCATATATCATTCATTTAGTCCAGCTTTGTGGCTATCGATTACAGTGGAACCTCGATTTAACAAACCTCTATATAACGAAGTCCTCGTTATAAAGAACAATCTTCTTCATCCCGGCCAAAATTACAGTAAAATGTATGGACAGGACCTCGATTTAACGAAATCCTCGTTATAACGAACACGATCCACAAGGGAAAACGTAAAATATACCTCGATATAATGAATAAATGTCAGCACGTGATAAAAGATGAATGCCAAACAGACCAACAAGGATAAAATTTATGTCTACAGTCGGTTTAGACAGTTTTTCTTGCCTGTTCTTGAGTTTCTAGTGCCGTAAATATATTGTGGCTCGGTACTGAAATGTTATTACGGTAATTATTCAGATCCGGAAATGCTAGGTTTTGTAAATTAATTATTAACTATACCTCGATATAATGTTCATTTTGGTAGTTTTCTCCAAAATTCGTTAAACGGAGGCATTCAATGTAATGAACCCTCAATGTATCAAACAAATTTTCCCAGTCCCTTTAATGGCACTTCATTAAATCAAGGTTTCACTGTACTGTGTTTGTTCTTAATTTAAAAAATATGGTAGGCACATTTGACCCATAAGTTATATTTATATTAGTACATACTTTTTAAGTATGGAATTTTTGCATTTAGGTCCTTATTCTAACCCTATTTTTGCAGAAAATGACACTATTTTTAGCTATTTTACAACACCATTATAAAATTAATCTATTTGCTTTGTCCCTATTTTTTGTTTCAAATAGGGAAAAAATAGTTTTTAAATCACCTCCCTATTTTATTTCAATTTTGTTCTGAAGCTTCCTCTATTATATTTCTACTTTAATGATGGTTTTTGGTTATTTTTTCTCTATTTTATTGCTATTTGATATTTCAGCAGTTTTCAATTTCAGACTATTTTAACCCTATTTTTCTCAGAATTATATACTATTTTAAGGCTATTTTTTAACACTATTTTTTTCCTCTTTTTTGTTTCAAAATAACAGGTTTAAAATAGAGTAAAAATATATTTAAAATAGTGCTTGATAGTGCTTAAAAATAGAGAAAAACCAAGGAAATGATAGAGAACAAATAGGATGGAAAATAGAAAAAAAATAGAGGTAAAATAGGCACTATTTTTGTAAGGGTTTATAACTGGATTTGGTTTTACATTAATTTATACATACATTTAGTGATATCTACAGATCATACGAAAGCTGAATGTAATAATATATTGCTAAATATTATTTTCTACATCAATGGCAATTGTGACAGTGTTTTCCAAAAATCAGTGACCAAGTTGTCTCGGTTATTAACACTAAACTTGTACACTGTTCGGTCAAAAGAGCTTGTTTGAGATTTTTCGTATTTATAGTCCATAAAAATGTGTGGTCAAAAATGCATATATATGGCTTCACCAATCTTAGCTCACCTGTATACACCCTCAACAATGATAAGTATTTTCCTCCAAGGTCTGTGGGTGCGAGGTTGCCCCTGGACAACTGACTCGCGGAGAATATTCTCCAAACTCTTCATATCTAAAGGCAGATACAAAATAAATTATAACTTAAATAAATTATAAGAAATCTTACTGAGCAATTTACAAAAAAAATCCTGTATAAACACACATAGAGAAATATATGAACTTTATTTTCGCAAATTCTCCAGTAGCAGAAAGGCTAATACATATTTCCATGCAACATAAAAGAAATAAAAAATGAAACTTGTTTAAATTACAAGTACATTTATACCTAATATGATTCTTGAAAGGAGACTGTCTTCATATGACATTTAAAACTACATGTACAGCTGTAGTTACAGAACATTTGCTTCTAATGTTATCTGAAGTAACAGAGAGGAGAAGTGTGACATCATGTTGCCCACATTTGCAAACTTTCTGGATCTCAATAATCTTTCTTGACAGAGACGGCCATTTGCATTGTTGAACGATGGAAGAAAAGTAAGAGCTTACAGTTTGTTTCTAAGGGCAATCATGCACAGGAAAGTCACCAATGTCAATTTTTTGTTTTTTTTTCTGTCATATTTGCAGGACCATGCTTTGTTGCGATCCAGAAATTTTGCTACCATGGACATGTGATGTAATGACGTCTCCTCTCTATACCGTGGGCACCAACTACTAATGAAACATAACTGGAAGAATTCTTACCATTATGTTTGAAGACCTTAATTTTTGCTCCTGACAATCTAGCTCCCAATACAAGTGATGCATGGTTCAGCTCATCACTGACTATTAGGTCTCCTTTACCTACCAGGGTTGGTATGTTAGTTGAGTTGGTAGCAAAGCCCATACCAAACGTCATAGCAGCTGGTTTGCCAATAAACCGTGCAACAAGATGTTCTAACTCATCATGCAGGTTTTCCAGAGTACCTGCAGGGGAGAGAAACACACCATAATTTGACCTGTAACATCTACATTAAAGGCATCCTGGGAAACACTACATGAACAAACAGCATCCAAACAGTACTCCGAGCTCAATTTTTTTCGAAGTCTTAAAGTATAAAATAGTTGCCTGACATAAAATATTGGTTGCCATTAAAAAAAGCCTGGAGTAATTTTACAGAAAGGGTTATACCACTGACCAAATTGATTGTACCAGTATTTCATTTTTCATGTGTTTTGCATGAAGCTGTTCAAAGTACATTGATACTCACATAAGCTTCTGAAGTAATAATATTTCTGAAACAGTTTCCTTCCGTAGAACTGATTCATATTTTTGCCAAGTTTCAGTAGCTTTTTTTGCAGCAAATGAATCTCCAGCAGCAAAAAAAGCCTTCAAATTTCTCAAAATGTTGTCTACCTCGCACATCGTTGTAAACTCCATCGAATGATGAAATAAAAGAAAGGTTGTACTTTTCCTTTTGTTTTACAGCTATTAATTTTAGACACATGCAAACCCATTTAGTGCAGTACCATGTCAGGCACGAATTTTTTGTCTGATCTCAATGGCAGCTACTAAAACCAGTCAAATATACAATAATGCAGTTTCCGGCGTTGCTTTAATTAATACTCCAGTATTGTACATGATGAAAGCATGAAACTCTGAATGCCTGGATGACACCTGAAAGAACAGATGCATTTTTCCAACTTGTTTTTCACCAGAGCAAGTGCAAAGAATACTTTTTCTCATGGGAAATCAGTTTTTGCATCATACTTATTTGCTTGAAGTTTAAAGAGCTGTTGCAACAAGATACCTTCATTCTTGTTGTCATCTGACCCAGTTCCCACTTGCCTTATCAAAATGGCTGCCTAACTATCATGCCTACATTGCAATCAAATTTGGATGCCCCACAGTTCACACTGGGACAACCAGGGTGAAAAGAAATATATTGTCTTGAATACCGAGCATAAATAATATTTCTTGCAAATGTTCACCTAAATTTAACTTTAGAGAGACCATTTACACTAACTGATAAACTAATGTTGTACACCTTGAAACATGACTACCAAAAAAAAAGGTCACCAAATTGACAACTTTTGCTGCAAGTTTAGTCACCAATATCTTTTTTCACTCGCCATGGCAACTGAAATGGTAGCAGCATGGTGCACTGGCAAAGAAAGCTGTGTCTAGTAGCCCAAGGCTAGTGGATTTTGCAATCGGACTGGTCAATTCTGTTCTTAAAACCTTTGAAAAGCTGTTTACTATTCGTTTGTCAGCCATTTGTCTATCCAATCAATGGAAAAGAACAAGTGCTCGAATGAAACAACTATTAAAGAAGATAAATTACCCAGAAGCCACATTCCCAGAAATTAACAGTTGATCAATAGGGCAACTAGAACCTGAAACTAAGTTGCCCCCAAAAAACTTTTAGTTGCCCTGGGAACGTGGGCAACCCTTTAATGTCAAGCTCTGCATAATCTGGTGATGACAATCTGCAAACCACAAATTTAATTCTAATATCATGGATAATTCAGGGTTCGCAAATACGCCAAATTTGGCGTATTTTATGCCAAAATTGTTCAAATGACTCCACTGAGGTTACGGAGGGAGTCACTTCGACTCCAGAAATCTTCGGTAACAAACATAGTTTTGTCCTTACCTTTTTCACAACAAATACAATTTACGTTAATTGTAAACGTTGTAAACCTTAATTAAATCATCGAAATTAAAGAATTATACTGCACGACCAAAAAACAGGAAGAGGGTAAATTACGATGAAAGGTGTATCCCTCACGATAGTGTATACATGCCAGGACCATGTGCTGGAAAGTCTGTTTGGCTTTTCTCGTTGTGATACTTGACTCCAAATATTCCAAAATGACTCAAAAATTTGTGAACCAGAAGTCACACTGACTCCACTCATCAATAAAATTTGCAAACCCTGTAATTGAACCTTTTCGCCTTCATAGGGACCATAATAGCTTCATAGGAAAAGTGTACAAGTTTGAATACTGTATGAGTCTTTACCATACTCATGTCGTGGGCTACATCCTCCCACACCATATTGTTTTACTGCCTCCTCTGCAGCCTCCGCACATGACCCAACATTCTCCGCAAACCCAAGGTAGTTGTATGAACCAAGGTTGAGAGCCTTTGTACTTTGTCCAGTTTGCCTTGAAAAGGAGGCAAACATATGTAAGTGATATAATGATCATTCTTCCTGCTATACCTGACTAGGTTTATTAATTTGTGTCAAAAGATGGAAGCTAACAGGATCACACTAGCAAGCAAGTAACAATAGCTGATCTAAATTGAAGCTTAGACCATCCAGTGCATATTTTACAGGTCAAAATTACATTCATGTTGAAATTTTTAACCTGTCAATTTTCAACATGGCATCTCTAGAGGACAGACGCATAGATCAGTGTGAAAAACTGTTTGATTCTACTGTATCTAGTCCAGATCATAAGTTGCATCATTTTCTCCCTCCCAAGAACTATTGTCATTATAACCTTAGAAGACAACGCCACTTTGCAAATCCAGTCACGCATACCAAACGTTTTTCTAGCACATTTCTGCCAACTATGTGCAGGCGTTAGCAGTTTTTTGTATAAAATTTAATTCATCTAAAGTATAATTTTCATAAATTAGAATTCTAAAGTAAAATTTTGTAGATTTTTTAGTACATTTTCATATTTTAAGTTTTGTATCAATTGTATTTGTAAATTCATGCAATTCAGCCTTTGTGGGCTGCCATATGATTTGAATTAAAGCTATTTGGTATGTTAGTTGAGTTGGTAGCAAAGCCCATACCAAACGTCATAGCAGCTGGTTTGCCAATAAACCGTGCAACAAGATGTTCTAACTCATCATGCAGGTTTTCCAGAGTACCTGCAGGGGAGAGAAACACACCATAATTTGACCTGTAACATCTACATTAAAGGCATCCTGGGAAACACTACATGAACAAACAGCATCCAAACAGTACTCCGAGCTCAATTTTTTTCGAAGTCTTAAAGTATAAAATAGTTGCCTGACATAAAATATTGGTTGCCATTAAAAAAAGCCTGGAGTAATTTTACAGAAAGGGTTATACCACTGACCAAATTGATTGTACCAGTATTTCATTTTTCATGTGTTTTGCATGAAGCTGTTCAAAGTACATTGATACTCACATAAGCTTCTGAAGTAATAATATTTCTGAAACAGTTTCCTTCCGTAGAACTGATTCATATTTTTGCCAAGTTTCAGTAGCTTTTTTTGCAGCAAATGAATCTCCAGCAGCAAAAAAAGCCTTCAAATTTCTCAAAATGTTGTCTACCTCGCACATCGTTGTAAACTCCATCGAATGATGAAATAAAAGAAAGGTTGTACTTTTCCTTTTGTTTTACAGCTATTAATTTTAGACACATGCAAACCCATTTAGTGCAGTACCATGTCAGGCACGAATTTTTTGTCTGATCTCAATGGCAGCTACTAAAACCAGTCAAATATACAATAATGCAGTTTCCGGCGTTGCTTTAATTAATACTCCAGTATTGTACATGATGAAAGCATGAAACTCTGAATGCCTGGATGACACCTGAAAGAACAGATGCATTTTTCCAACTTGTTTTTCACCAGAGCAAGTGCAAAGAATACTTTTTCTCATGGGAAATCAGTTTTTGCATCATACTTATTTGCTTGAAGTTTAAAGAGCTGTTGCAACAAGATACCTTCATTCTTGTTGTCATCTGACCCAGTTCCCACTTGCCTTATCAAAATGGCTGCCTAACTATCATGCCTACATTGCAATCAAATTTGGATGCCCCACAGTTCACACTGGGACAACCAGGGTGAAAAGAAATATATTGTCTTGAATACCGAGCATAAATAATATTTCTTGCAAATGTTCACCTAAATTTAACTTTAGAGAGACCATTTACACTAACTGATAAACTAATGTTGTACACCTTGAAACATGACTACCAAAAAAAAAGGTCACCAAATTGACAACTTTTGCTGCAAGTTTAGTCACCAATATCTTTTTTCACTCGCCATGGCAACTGAAATGGTAGCAGCATGGTGCACTGGCAAAGAAAGCTGTGTCTAGTAGCCCAAGGCTAGTGGATTTTGCAATCGGACTGGTCAATTCTGTTCTTAAAACCTTTGAAAAGCTGTTTACTATTCGTTTGTCAGCCATTTGTCTATCCAATCAATGGAAAAGAACAAGTGCTCGAATGAAACAACTATTAAAGAAGATAAATTACCCAGAAGCCACATTCCCAGAAATTAACAGTTGATCAATAGGGCAACTAGAACCTGAAACTAAGTTGCCCCCAAAAAACTTTTAGTTGCCCTGGGAACGTGGGCAACCCTTTAATGTCAAGCTCTGCATAATCTGGTGATGACAATCTGCAAACCACAAATTTAATTCTAATATCATGGATAATTCAGGGTTCGCAAATACGCCAAATTTGGCGTATTTTATGCCAAAATTGTTCAAATGACTCCACTGAGGTTACGGAGGGAGTCACTTCGACTCCAGAAATCTTCGGTAACAAACATAGTTTTGTCCTTACCTTTTTCACAACAAATACAATTTACGTTAATTGTAAACGTTGTAAACCTTAATTAAATCATCGAAATTAAAGAATTATACTGCACGACCAAAAAACAGGAAGAGGGTAAATTACGATGAAAGGTGTATCCCTCACGATA